TGGTTATAAGAAAGCGCATCAGATTAGCAAGGTAGAATATTTTTATCGTCAGAATAAAATGAAACATATACATAAGGATTGATGAATGATGTCCGGGATACAATAAACACGAATGAAATACTGTTTGTTTGCAAATTCGCATTTGATAACGTTCGCTTTAAAACTTTATTTCCGGGAAATGCATGCATGGTTGAGTGACACAGCACATTGTAAAAGCAAAATTGTTATAACGTTGTGGAGTTTGTGAGCGAAAAGATCTTTTCACCACTCATTAATTTTACAAAGGCTTGTTCTTTTGAAACAAGCATTTAGAAGAAACGTATATACATAATGTATGTAGCATGGATATACCGTAAATGCATATATAATATTAAATTATTTCACCATGCATGCACCCACGCAATAGATGGCGTATGCCAAAATTCATAATTTATAATAATTTTAATTTATAACAAGACGCCTACTAGGCGTTATGATCGCGTCGTTCACAGCGGCGTAACCAGCCCAGCTATGCAAATTTTGTGTCATAAATGTTCTTAATAATAAAAATGAACAATATACCGAACTATAGGCAGGCTTACTCTGCTCGGCGTGTGCAGTTGTATGTGTAATGAGCGTAAAGGCTGCATTCCACTTACGCGTTTTTCATACGCACGTACACGCACGTAAAAGTCTGAATCCTTGTACATGCTACCTTTGAAAAAACTAAGTGAATAAATCGAAGGAACTTAGTTTTCTGCATATTTTAGTATGCATTAGTTGACCTAGATGTTAAATAATAAAAATTTAAAAGCGTTTAAAATTTTCCGTACGTGTACGTGCGTATAAAAAACGCGTAAGTGGAAAGCAGCCTTAAAGATAAGGATAGCACTTGCTAGCATTTTGATCGCTTTATTGATTCTACTTTACGGCTTCGTAATCGGGAACCTGCGCACAGGTAGGTTGATAGTTATATCACGTGTTGTATTCACTTTGGGCATATTTCGTTTCACCTAGGGTGATACGGCCTGCAGCTAGCGACGCTGGGGGTCGACCCGAGAGGAAAATAAAAAAAAAACCAAGCCGAAACTATAGATCGCTGTCGCTACGCGACGCGATCAATAATGACAAGGTCTTGCGCTCACAATTTTAAAAAAAAGTACCCCAAAAATGGCGGCACATTCGTCATCGTGAGAAAGGCTAATTCGCCAACTTCGCTTGGCTATATCATTCGTAAGCTTGTAACTTTGGCTTTCCAAGCTTTTTAAAACCCAATATGAAAGAATGATTGATTTTTTTTGTACTTTTCGACTTCACAAATACTAAATTTTGCTTTCAGATACAATCATGGCAGGAATGAACAATGCATCTATATTTTGCGAGAACCTCGTCGCGAGTATAGGTAACAACCAAATTATAAATATTTCATCAACAGGTATCACAAAAGCCTTAATTACAAACGAATTGTTCATATTCACATTAACTGTAGTATATTACTGTTTAAAATCATACTATTTTGAAATTTCTCTGCATGGGCCCAGGCACCCTGCTACAAGTCCGAAGCATTGTACAATTTTCAACCAAAGTCACCGATTTGGCGATTGTGTATTTTTAGGCTCTACAAGCACGAAAGTAGTTAGCAACTGCTATGAACCAGTCCGCAGCTATTGTCCCAGGGAAAAAGTTGATCACGGAATTGAAAAGATACAAAAAGGAAAACCTAAAATTTTGCATGGAACAATAGGAACGGGAAAAACCTATGCCGCTCGTCATTACATTGATGTTAACAAAACGACGTTTGGTATTAAATGGTTTCTAAATGTCTCTACTAGTGAAGACAGCATAATCTCCTCGTTAAATGATCTTGCAGAGAAACTAGGTGTACAGTATCGACAGTTATTTGAAACTATTGAAGAAAGGGCTAAATATGATAATATAATATTTGTCCTAGACAACGTAGAAAAGAAGCCGTCTTCTGAGTGGTTCAAAAAGTTGTGGAATATTCGACGTTTACTTAACATCATCATCACAACCAACAATGCCTCTCTGTTTCTGTCTCTTTCTGGTGCAGAAGAACTGCAAGTGGAGAAGTTTGACGAGGCAATGGCGTTTCTTCAGGGCATTCATCCTAATAATAGTGAAGAAGATCTCAAAGAGCTTTGTAATCATTTTGGTTGGAATATTCTTGGTCTAACAACCGCAAAAGATTACATGTTAATAAAAAAGATGACTGCTCGTACTTATCTGAAAATGCTGCGTGATAGAGAGGCAGCACCAAAAATTCGTCAAAATGAACTAGGCAGACATAATCGAACACTTTACGCGAGTGTGCGTGCATGTTTAGAAGAAGTTGATAAGGATAAGTTCTCTGTTTTGGCTAGCGTCTCTTTCATTTCAAACGACATGATCCCAGAGTTTCTACTAAGCAATCAGATACCTTCTGGCACTCATTTGGCAAAAAAGGCAGATCTAGACAATCTACATGATCAGCTGAAGTCATTGGTACACATCACAGAGGAAAATGGTATTCGGTTCTTTTCATTCCATTCCTTCACCCAGTACGTGATCAAAGACATGATCGACGAACCAGTTAAAGCAGATCTGTCGTACAAACTTGTGGAAATATTTGTCAGATATATTAATAAAGACAACCGTTTTTCCAAAGATAATTTTCTTCAGCGTCATACACGTGAGCATGCGGAGCTTGTTATTCAAGAATGGGAAGACAAGGAAAAAGATGATCGTACTGCGATAGCATTAGCTCGTCTATCAGAACTGGTTGGATTCATATACAGTCAGGAACAACCTCCTCTGCGCCGGCAGTCCGATGTCCATTTTGCACGTGCTAGAGAGTTGATTCATAATCTTTGCGGGATAACCAAAGACGATTTAAAACCTGCTGATGGGTCGGTAGTCGTCAGGAGATCTCTTCACGTAGATCAGATGTATGGAATCACTGAGGAAGAGTTGAAAGTTTCGCACCGATTGTTTGAAAAACTGACACGAAAGAGTTCCGAACTATCGCCGGACATCATCCAAGAGCTTGTATTCTGGCGCACAGTTAACAAGCAAGATATGGTTGTGTTTCCGAAAGCAGTGAAGGAGAATCAGATGGTAAAGGAAAAAATCGAATCCTCTCAACCACTTTCATCCAATGAAGTCAAAGTGTTGGTTGACCATAAAGTAGCGTACAGTGTTGATGACTATCGAAAATTGTTCCTACCGGAACTTTATCTCTCTGTGATTTTCACCTTTGGCCGAAACTATTTCTACAGAAATGGAGACGCAATTGAGCAATCAACCTCTTACATCCATCTTTTGAAGCTAGCGTATTGCCTTTCACGTGAAATTAGCGAAGCAATGAATGAAAATGATGCTGTCTTCCAAGAATATTCTGCGCAGTCCAACGGTCTATTGTATCTTCTGGTTAATGATGACTATATCTGTCGAGACGATATACATGAAAAGAAAGAGGAACAAGTGCATGCCAAGGACCTGGTGAATGCAATTGATCGCTACAAACAATTGGAACGCGAAGAAAGAAGATTTTTCGAGATGGGGATATTGAAAACAACGGGAGTTGACACATATGGACGGTTAGTTTGTCATCGACAGATCTTGACATGCTACAAAGCCTTGCTGTCAATCAATAGCATTGAAGATCGTGCTGATTACGTGAAGGATGGTGTTCAAATTTGCGACGATCTTTTGAAATTACTGGAAACTTTCACCGCTCAAAATGCCTTGGTTCAAAATTCCAGATACTTGAATACTATTGGCGAGTTCTATTTAAGTATCAATAAGGATGAATACTACCTGAAGGCGATTGATATATTCACCAAATCCGCAGAGAAAGCTAAAGAAGATCAAGTGACCTTATTTCACCTAGAGGCTTTGGTTGGCTTAGCAGAAGTGTACAGCCGAATGGGCAATCGTGATCATTCACTTGCATATCTGACAGAATGTGAGGACAAAGAAAGTCTTCGTACTATGAGAGACAAGAAACCTCGTATTCAACAAAGAATTACTAAAATCCGAGAAAAAAACAATGAGATGGTTGCTAAGACTAAACAACAACCAGGTACATGTCACAAGAGTGCCATCAACATTATTTCTTACATAGCTACGACCATACGAAATACGCAGGACTTAATAGACCATTTCAGCTTGCAGTCAAATCAACCCATTTCAGTTTTTGTAACCATGGAATAGCCAATAAAACATTTAAAACCATTTCAGACCATGTGATTTGAAATGGGTTTATTTGCATACAAGCTGAAAAAGTCTATTATACCAAAGGGCCACAAATCAACAATACGCAATATTTTTTCCTTTATTTTATAGTTTCCCATGACGAAAAGTCTGAAGAATAAGTAGAAGAAGTATATGTAACAAGAAGAAGAATAAGTAACGTCTTATTTTGCTTCAAAAGGGTGACAATGCAAATACCATATTAACTATGTTCTTGTAGTTTTGCACGATGATAAAACAAAAACTACTCCTAGAAAAATAGGTCTGGGGTCAAATTGATCCCAATTGCTTTCACAAGCATTATTTCAAGAGAGTTGAAAATGCGTAGTAGTACTGTATACACTAATAGTAAAATGCACTTATCAATTTATTCCCACTGTTGATTTGCACTCTCTGTTGATTTGAGACATTCTGTCAATAATTGTAAATGACCGAAGCGGGGCATGCAACAACAAAAAGCCTGACTTGTTTTAGGCTAATCAGCAAATTTATCTACACTTTCAGTACCCAATCTGAATGCATAAATATTGCCTACTTCCGGTAAAAGGTACATTATCTTACATAAAGTATAAAAAATTTAGGCATTCTGATTGGCTTAGCCTGAAAAAATTTAGTACCGAGTAGTTTAAAACGACAATTCTTCTATACGTGCAATACCATGCATCACTGAAATTGTGTTGTCCGGAATAAAGATATAATCAGCACCGTTGGCGTCGCTAGAAGCTTAATTGGGGGGGGGGGGGTGTATATTCATATATTCATGTACTGACCTGTTTACTTTCTGGATTATAGAGAAAGTTTGACCAATTCGGATCTGTTTGCATGAAATTGAATTCAAATAATTCCCTCAAACACAGCCTCAAAATATCAAAGCAAATCTGCCAAATATAAAAATATTGTTCACATTTTACAGCATATGTAAGAATAACAAACATAATTATGTATTTTGACTGGAAAGAGAAGACAGTCTTAATTGGAATGTAAATATCATGTATTTAATTATAAATATTGAACTTAATCTTTGTTTTTGTATTGGTATATGAAAGACAATAAAGTCAAAGAAAAGGAATTATTAAAATGCCTTATGTAGCAGAGCTACCCCGGCCCCTTTGGGGCTGGTCTGGGTCAACGTCCGACCTGGGGTCGATTGTACCATGCAGAATAGTGCTATAATTTTTTGGATAAGCATAGTTTTGATCCCGACTAAAACACTAACCTTATTTGTGATACTTTTATCCCATTTTGTGTTCTTATCGAGGGAACTACCACATACAAATTCCGTCGTCAAAACACGTTTTGTACTTAGACCGTCGATTACTTCCGGGACATAAAAAGATTCATCTTCTTTAAGAAGTTCTCTGGAAGAGAAATATACTTTCTACTGTATTTCCTATATTTTAAAAGTATATAAAGTGAAGAGTTTTGAGAAGGGGAATTCTAGGAAGGCTCGGGATAAATCAGAATTTCACTTTAACTTATTAGAACTTCGAAATTGTAACCCCTTCTTCTTTCGAATTTGGAGAAATCTGGAAAACGATTCTGAAATTTATTGGCGTCATAATTCTTTTTTTTTTCGCTTTCATGAGAGACAAAAACAGCAAAAACCCCGTTATCTTTGGAGGAAAGTTGGAACTTTGAGTTCGCTACTGTACTTATGTATCGACAGAATTTAACTGCAAACAGTTAAAGTATTTTCTTACCTAAATCTCTTTGCACACTTTGCTTCTCTCACGTAGTCGACTTCCCAAGCGAGCTCACGACGTGATACATCAATAAATTGCTCCATGTGAAGCCCTAAACATCACGTCATTGAAAAATAATGATATTGATTTCTTTTCATAAGAACTGCAGTGCCAACTTCAACGGGTTTATATAGTTATTAGGATATTCCGAAGTTTCGATAGGGAGACTTCAAAAGCTCTAATCCTCAAAAGAGCCTATGCAGGATTCATTGACAATCACGCTATAATAGATGCTATAACAAATGTACTATATGAAGTCGAAGACCTTAAGAAGATAAGTGTATACTCGAGGTAAAAGCAGTTTTGACGTCATTTACTGCATGAAAAGGGACGCTTATGAAAAAAACACATGCATTTTTACAGTTTCTAAAGACGCAGCGAATATTTTAACAAGTTTAGGATTTTGAAGCTTTTACCTGGCGGCAAGACTTTACCAAGCTTTAACAAAGCCACGATGTTGTCAATGTCACTATTTATACTTGTATCTACACCTGGGTACTAAAATATACAATAATGAAAAAACACGATCTGTTACATGTCAATACATGATTGTTAGAGGGTGTTTCCGATTATTTTTATGCTTTATGTTATGGGTCTGCGCTTTCAACTCTGCCTTTTGTATTTGTTTTAAAATTTGGTGAATAACCCAGCTAGGATGGCTAGGACAACTGTGACGATCAATAAAATTACCAGCGGATTTCATTTCCAGTGCAATATTTCGCGAGAAAAATGAAGAAACATCAAGTTGTTTTTTACAGATGTTACATTTTTTGGAAGCCATTACTAGAGCTGGCGCCAGCTTGTCCTGTCATTGACATTCGTTTGGATTTTGGAAACCGTTGCTATTTTTTATTAAACGAAACTGTCAGTAAAGACAGTATACATCGTGTTTCTAAACTTTGTTCGTTTCGAAATTCGATAAATAACGCAGCTACGCCAGGACAAAGGTGACGAAAATAAATGAAATTACTAGTTGATTTCGTTTCAAGTGCAATATTTTGCGAGAAAAATAGCTCAAGTTAAGAGTCAAGATACATCAGGTTGTTTTCTACATGCAGTTGTTACATTTTTGGAAGCCTATATCAGAATTGGCGCCAGCTTGTCTAGTCATCGACGTTCTTTAGATTTTGGAACACCGTCGGCGTGGCTCTTTTAACTTAACTGAAACTGTTATTTATTTCGAGACATTGTCGTTGTACATTTGCATGTAAAACTATTAAAAAATTGAAGTAATTGCCTTTGCTATGCCGGTAGATTCTGGGCAGTTTATGTTTTTTACGAGAAATGCCATTTTAAATGCAATTTATATAACTAAATTTAGACTCGAATTTAAATTTGAACCAAATTGCATTTAAGCCAGCTCCCCTTTGGATTTGGAGACTTCGCTTGATAAGGAGCCGTTTATCGTTCAGTAGGAAACGTCTGGAAATGCTACAGACTACAGTCTCAAGATAATAACTAAATAAGATTGAAACGTCAATCGATGACATATCTGTTGACTATGCCGATGAACTCTGCCAATATATACCACAGGCAAGGGAAAAAGGTTGTCTGTGGCCTATTATTATTAATGATAAGTTTCTCTATCAATGCAAACGTTTACAACCCAAATGGCAAATCTCGCGCTCTCGTTGCCATTCCAGCGCACTCGCACATTTATACTTTTTAACTAGTATGTCTATGTCTATATATGACTAGAAGTTTAACTATGCTGTAACCGCAATGCCAATGGTATGTAATCTCTACGAAGCATTTTTAATAAAACATTTTTGCTGTTTTGGCCTTTGCACCGTACAGTAACATGCTTTTGAGTTTTGGTCCTATTTTTAGAAATAAAAGGTCGATCTTATTATAATAACCAAAATGGTCGGTTCAAAAATCTCATAACAATGGCGCACACTTGGGCGGTCGGGAGTTTATACGTCCAAATAAGCTAAGACTTAGGACGACAACGTGACGATGACGGCTAAAATAAGTTCGTTCAATTATTGCACTTCTGTTAAAGCCGCTTTACGTCATAAGTGATTTGGCGTATGGTGAACAACGATGACGACAACAAGCCAATATTAGTCCCAAGGGAAAGGAGCTTTAAATATTCTAATTTCTCCGATCTTTAATTGACGTCGCACCGTCAAAATTCGCATTGTGCATCTCAAAGTCTCTAATACATGGTAAATAACTAAAATAAGGCCTTTTCTAACGTCCCAGAAGTGCCTCAGATCTTTTAACTGCGTACCAATAGACTATAATACCCGCGAAAAGTTGTATTGGCAAACGGCCTATGGCATTGGCTGAAAAAACTTCGATGACTACACTCGATGACGATGGCAATACCCAACTGAACTGATGATGTTTAAAGACGTTATATATAATGCAATAACTTGGAACAACATTTCATTTTTTGAAAGTAGATAATATGCAATTTTCAAATTTCCCCTTAGCTTGTATAATATTTAGGTATTGTCATAGCGGTGAAGTCTTTCGATACTCCTGACTATTATCGTTCGTAAAATATTCACAGCATTGACTCCATCCATGATATGACTACAGCTTGGTGGACTTACACCAGAATTTTAAATTTTACTCTGTGGACACACAAAGACTAAAGAAATTACCTGAATTTTAATAGCTACTTTCTTGCCACTCTTGAGCACACCTTGATGCACTTGACCAATGGATGCTGCTGCAAAAGGCTTCATGTCAAAATCAACCAGTTCAGTTTTCCACTTAGAACCAAGTTCTGCGTTTAGCACTTTCTAACATGATAAGATTGATAAATTATCTTAAATAATCAATACTAGATTCTAAGATGCTCTACAGGAACATTATATAGTCAATTCTACATAATGTATAGATCTCTGAAAATCTTGCATATTGATAATGCAGCTAGGCATGCAAACAAGATGATATGAAAAATAATTAGTAGTGTACATGTAATTTATATCACCTCAAGTTGCCATGATGGCATAAAATCAGCACCATCTCTAACACGTTCAAAAATTCCCTGAAGAGTTGGCGAAATCATTGTGTTATCTGTTCAATGAAATAAGCAAATCTGTCAATTAAATTACTATAGTTCACAAACCAGTTACGAATTAGGGAAAATAGCTTTAGGTCTTCACTTTTCATGGATGGCCTGACTTGCCTTGTATGCTTAGCATTTGGCCAAGTTTCAGCGCTGCTCCTCGCACCTTGCACAAAGTGTTGACAATTCTGGTGGCATTTGCTTCAGTCAAGAAAGGACTACCTTCATTACTTCCGTCTAAATAAAAAATATAGAAACATGAGAAACTATATTTGTAGAAATTTGGATCATGTTAATCAATACGAATATGTACATATGTACATTTGTACATTGAATCATGTTAAATTCACAAAATGTTGGTTGGGAATCCCAGCCAGATATATGTAGGAAATCACGTACCTTGGTCAAAACCAATCTGACGTCTTGCAACTTCTGCTAAAGCCCCAAAGCCAAGACTTGCAGCCAGACCTACATGTATCATTATTTGCTGTGCAATTACTTAAATGGCATTGTCATTCTTTTCAACTAACAAGCAGAATTGTCTAGCATTATATAGAGGCGGACTGGGGTAGAGGGATATTACCTACAGCCTGAAACATTAGAGTAGGGCTTCAATCACCCTGTATTCACAAGGATTAGCAAAGCATATAATGCACCAATAAAACTGTTAAAAACATGAGAGATAATAAGGTTAGACCTGACTATATAGCGAAGCTAGGGGGGCACTCACTCATTAGACAAAGTACCAACCTCCATAATTTGCTAATCGGCTCACTCTTGTTGCTGGAACAGGCCTTTCTTTTGATCTTTTGCTTAGCTACAATATTATTTTCAGGAGGATTAATTTGACGAAGTTCATTTGACATGCTTACATGTTTTTTTGACAAAAATGCAATGATTTAAAGGCTGTCGAGTCTCTTGCTAAAATCAGAAGAAATTATATATAGCCTATTGCAACTTGTCTTTGGAGAAGACCAGACTAGAATTGCAAAAGATGTTGCAAGCCTAAAAATCATCATTAATAATGTGCTTAAATACAGTTCTGATTGGTCAAACTAAGGTGCCTATAAGCTATTAAGTTCTTACACCCCCCTCCCCTCCCCTAAAAAATTTGAGGATCCCAGAGGGAAGGTTCTCAAATTCAGGGCACCTGTACAAATTACACTCAGTTGGCTTTTCTACTTCTTAATGCTTGATGGTCAATTTATTAAAATACTACCAGCTACTAAACCAGTATGCCTGGTTCTTTATACCTGAGGTTGATTGGCTGTCTTTTTCTTTAAATTTCTACCACTGTAATTATTTTTTCCAACTTTACTCGACTTTATACCTGCAGTCGAGTCTGTTGACTTTTTTCTCTGGCACATATCTGACAATATTGCACCGTGATTATGCAAGACAACGTGTTTGTTCCAATGAAAACACTTGCTATTTTTATAGCTTTGGCAAGCCTGGAGGCCAACACAAATTCTTTGTGCCTTTCCGAGCAAATTCATGATCAAATTACCGCAGTTTCTCAACGATCAATGAAAGAAGCATCTTGCTTTTCAGCATATTCTAGCTTCTATTCAAGAACACATCACTTTTCACTTTGGATTTCCAATAAATTTATTCTTGGCTTTGCAAAAACTTCATGTAACCAGAGTTCAACTGGCCGCGTTAAACACTGACAACCCCCAGTAATTTTAGTTACTGTTGATAATTTTTGGTAATTTTTCGGTTTGGTGATTGTGGTAATTGGAAATTTGTAGTAATTACTACAGTAATTTTTCTTAAAATTACAGAAAGCTTTATTGCTTTTCAAGTATTCTTGCAAGGTTGAAAAAACAATAAATCCCTATCAGATGGATCTCCATGGCCTATCCAGTCTTCGTACAAGCGGCCCTTGTTTGTTTGTGTCAAATTATAAATAATAATTCATACGACTCTGTTAGGGTAAAGTGGGGTTATTTCGGAAAAAGATCTGGAATTATCAATGATAACACGGGATAAATGTAAGCGTAGTAATTTTTTGCCTCATGTAGTAATTTCTGTCACTTAATTTGGTAATTGGCCTTCAGAAAACCTAGTCACACTGCATAACAACGGGCAGACCGGTCTGTTAAATTTCAGCATGATGACGTCTTTTCTTATTTAATAGCAACCAGTGCAGACGGATTACTGGTATAAGTGGTATTTTAGAGTGTTTCAAGAACCATGCATTCAAGTATATCGTTATTTACATCTGCCTACTACCTAGCATTGCAGTTTCACCGACGATTTATTTTTAACGAAATACTCAATTTCATTTTAAAATATGACCGGTTTACTTTGACCAGTTTGGCAATTTGAAAGAAAGTGGCCAAGTTACCTGTCACAACACCACGTCAAAGAAAATAGAACCAGATCATACCTCACTCATCGAGAATAAAAGCAAATCCTACGTTTTTCTATCCACGAATGTTGTGACACAACAAATGGTGACGACACAGCTAGGCTCACAGATATTTTGTATCCTAAAAACTGCTTTAAAAACATGACTTTTTATCAGTCAGTCATTTTGTTACATATGCGTGAGTTTAGTTAGACAAATTCTTTATAAAACAGTTACACAAGGTAACACAGCTGTTTCGTTTTACTGGTTTTATTCAGTCGTGAATTTGATTCAAAGTCGAAGTCACCAAGAAAGAAAAAAGATACTCCGGGAAATATTTGAAGAGATAGAGATCCTTTAAACACTGTAATATACAATATACGAGTCTTTCAATGAAAACAATACAAATATACCTCCATTGTTCTTTTAGATACCATCTGTCCATCTTTTATTAACCACGACATAATGGGGTTTAGACTTTTAGCCACGCTGAGTCCATTTTGGTTAGCAAAATCACTCCGATTTGGTGTGAACAGCCCTTTTAGAAGTAAAGATACTCTTTTTAAGGATAACCTATTTAAGTTTGTGATTATACTTTCTTCCTGTCAAACTACGCGTAATTATTTATTAATCGTATGCATAAATCACCGCAGCGTATTTCTTGTTATATAGTGTCTCAGTTGACATTGTTTGAACTAAGTAGACAAAAGTATTCACACAACTGCCTGTCAAGTTGACCTAAATATACGTTAACAAACACCATGGTTTTGTCTGTTCGCGTATAGAATTTTAATACGGGTTATCACTACGTGTCTGACCTCTGAAATCGTAGAACCCCGAAGGCTTTTATGTAACTGAATACGACTCAATCATGTCACTTGCCCAGGCAGAAGTCGACAGCATGGACTTAGCACAACAACTCGCGAAATACAAAGAGGAAAATTTACGATTGAGCGAAGAGAAGAACAATATTATGAGGGAATTCAATACGAGAATGAAAGTTCATCTCGAAGAAGTGCGGCTTTTGAAAGAGGTCAACGAACGTTTACAAATGGAACTTGAAGATCTTCGAGATCTGTGTTGCTATCTCGATGACGACCGAGTCAAGTGTCGCAAACTAGCGAAAGAATGGCAAAATTTCGGTCGCTTTGTTTCGTCGACGTTACACGCGAAGGAGAGCTCTTATCAAGAGGAGGTGAACTCTCTCAGCTTACAAAGAGAGAGTGTAATTGCCGAAAATATCAACCTCAAGAGATTGTGCCACCAACTGGAAAATTGTTCCAGCTCTCCTACACAACCGAGGGAGTACGTTTGCATACGTTGCTCCCAAGGGATATTGCTTGATAGGAGTTCAAACGGTGTTGTACGAAGGAACACTGATAGCCCTCAGACTGCCTATGCGGTTAATCATAGAGGTAATCCATTATGTTCTCTCGGAAGACTTAATGTCTAGTGAGTCCGGCTAAAACGTTTGGCGTCACGTAACATGTATTTCCGCGAACTACCCAGTGCATGTCCGTGAGAACATATATTTAGTCATGCAATGTTGTTGTATGAGCAGTGCTCGAAACTTTTAAAGTTGTGTTAAGTAACGTAATATATCGCTTCTTTTCTCTTTGTTTATGCAATTTTAGAAAAACCAAACGCAGACGTCGAAAGCATCTTGCCACAGTCCCCGAGTACAAGCTTTTTATCGCAGGTAAAAAAAAATATGCAAAATTGGCCTGCTGTTCATTTGGTCGGAAAATTGCTTTATAATTGCCTACTTCCTGCGCTACACTCGTGGCAAGAGTGCGATTTTCCGCTTTAGAAATACTTTAAATGCTTTCTTATACGTGTCAGGTGTCGTTTGAACTTTTGTAGAAAGATGGAAAGCTGAAGCGAAGTATAGCTTTCTTGTTTAGAGTTTAAAAGTAAATATATCCAGAGTTCATTTGTATATAGTAAGCTTTGGTATGCGAAACACGTTATACCTGTGAAGTGATTGTTTCTCTATTTACTTTACGCAGCAACGTGCCATTGCTAGCTTAGCGTGAAAGCTTTTTAATCCATAGGGAAACTAAAAACAGAACTGTCATATATTGTTGTTAATTGACAATTTGACTGATGATAAAATTGTTGTCAGGGCAAAGAAATATTATGAATGACAAATGAACTACGTATAACGGCGTTCTCCAAACGTATATGCATAAGATTTGAAGCTAAACTACATGTATAAGCATTAGCCATTACTTAGTTTTTCATATACTATATTGCCAATATAGGTATAGTGTGTAGCCGTTTCATCTCGTTGTATCAAAGGTTGTGACTTGTGTGATTTCAAAAAAATCACGCGATTATATATCTCCTTCGAGAACGTTCTGAAAGTTTGGGTTATAATAAATATAGTAAAGTAGATTGTTTTTGGCAATACATGATATTAGTGAATTATGAGCCACGAGGCTCCGATTTGCCTGGTTACCCAAAAGTCAAGTTTCTACCCAAGACTTCAACCAAAATAGTGCAATTTAAGTTCACCCCCTACACAAATGCGTCACCGCTTATGATTTTTTGCATATAGGAATCCGGCTTTGTATCACTGTTAAAAAAACAGGAAGGTTCGAATGGGGCAACTATTTTGAATCAGCTGTATCATGCCGAAAGCTAATTCGATAAAGGTTGCATATCCTTTCAAAACTTTAAACCCTGCGGGCGAAAGGCATGATGGATTGAAACATATAATGTCCTATTAAAAACTCAATAATGTGAAATAGAATCGAGCAAAAGAAGCCATCTGAAAATTAAGAGCCTGCAGTTTAATTTAGTTCGATTTAAACATGTGGTTTAAACATGTGGTTTAAAGTCGATCCGAAAATTTTGCAACTTTTTTTTATTTTTCAGGACTCGTACATCAGCGAAGGTTCCATTACAGGACACAAGAATGGAAAACGAAAAAAAGTCTCGTTTATCGAACCTGATGAAGTTCATGTAAGAAAATGGCTAAATTTCTTAACTATGGTATCGTTTCGTAAACCCAAGGCCTACTGATATAGCACGTCCTACTAAATTCTGGGCGAATTGATACTTTTACTCGCTTATGAGCTGTCAGTTTTGAGGTAGCAATTTCTGAGCCATCAACTTATTCTATTAATAAGACTTTAGTGTTTGTGCGTATGCAAAAAGGGCAATTATCATCTCGTCAAAAACAGCCTTGAAGCTAAACACCGTATTAGGTCAAACCTCAAACGGTGACAGGGAAGCTTAAACCATGTAACCATGCATATATTGAAACCATGTAAAGCCCGTTTTCCACTAGGCGAATTTATTCGCGCGACGCGAAGCGATATCTGAAATCCAGTGATGTGATTGGCTTGCGAAAAAATTCGCCGCGAAAAAATAGGTTGGCTTCCTACTTTTTATCTGTTCGCGCGAATAAATTCGCCTAGTGGAAAACGGGCTTAAGTCCTCGGGTGTTTCGACCACCACACACTCGTTGTAGTTCTGCAGAAAGCGAGTTCTGCAGAAAGCGAGTTCTGCTTATTAGATTTTTGGTTAGAATAATAACCCTGCAGGTGAAATAATGCTGTATGTCATCAGCATGCTCTACGACAAGTGTTTCAAAAAAACTATAACCTTCTAGAATTATTTTTCAAAGTATTAACACAAATGTTTATCATCCAATTTATCCACGTTGTAAATGTAAAGTACTTGTATAGTCGGCTTATCAAATAAATATATAGGCAAATCTTAATTAGACGTCATTCGCCGCCAACTTGACACTCCTATATTATATATATAGAAATGCCAAGTTGGCGGCGAATGACGCGTGTAAAGATTTGCCGCAATTCTGGTAATCCAAATCCACCGACTCAAGTTCTCAACTAATCCAAATCCACAGATTCAAGTTCTCAACTAATCCAAATCCACAGACTCAAGTTAACTGCTTAGCTTCAATAAAATGCCACCTAGGTTTATTTCCCTGTTAAAATTTTTCTAACTTTAACAAAAGGTTCTGACACTCCCGTGTAGGAACCGGAGGATAACATCAAACATGAACCATTGGACATCAATTCCAACGGAATAAAAGGTGAATTACGGCTAGTAACGCAGTTTCCTTTGCTAAAGTTTCTTTACTCATTTATACATACACATTTGTGTGTTTAAAAAATTGAAAAAATGTGCAATAAGCACGATGATATAATTAAGTTTTCTTATACCTATGATTACGGAAACATATCATAAATATCTCTTCATCTTTTACCTTTCATATAGAAAATCGTGGCATTCTCCGAAATGGTGGACGAAATCATCATTCAAATGTAAGAAAATGGGCCGAGGTTTTCTGTTCATATGAGAAAGTTCGCTTTGTTAGTTATATAGGTTTTATGGTGAGGTTTCACCTTAGTGACTCTATGAACCTTCACACAGAATGTGAGGTACCAAATAAATGCATTCATGAGACATAGTAAGCAACGAGAAAAACATGGTAAAAACGCTGGTAGAAAGTGGTCGGAAGAAATCTATGTGATATCTATACTACAAATAAGATTTGATGGTTATTGGTTATTATGATGACCTTGCGTATTTTTTTGGCGTGTTTAGGGTCATGGTTCAGTATCGAGTAATGACAGTATTTCGTCGGTTCAGGATATCAATCGAGCAATGCAAGTTTTAGAAATTCACTCGGAGTTAGAAGAAAGGGACTACGAGAGAGAAGAGCCATTGAAGGACAAAGAAGTCGCTGTTTTGAAAGAAATGTGTAATGTAAGTAAGGTAGAATACGGTGCCGTTTTATATGACAGGAGGTATAGTTGTCAGAACGGCAATCAGTACAGTAGTTTCGTCAGTAAAGAACGTCAGTAAAACACAGTACCAGACAGTAGTGATCTAGTACAATAGTCAGTATAAGTAAATAATTTACTTGACTATGTCCTAACTGCTATTATAATAAAACTATATAGACTACAATACTGTACTGACAAGATTGTATTCAATATGGCATAGTATTTTGGTACTGAATTACACTGTTGGACATTGCCATAGTACAGTACGATTGCAGACTTGCAGTAGAGCACTACCAATAATTCAGTACAGTATAGTCAGTACAATATAGTACATGTTGTTACTTAAGTCAGTACAATATTGTAATGTCTAGTGAGTATACATAGGGTATGGTACTGTGAAGCAAAGCGTACATTAAAAGAATAGCAAAGTACAGCACATACATGCAGAAGAGTCAGTACAGCTGTTAAAGATTCAAATACGGTAGAGTGTTTAATGTTTCATGACCTATATTTTGCTATTAATGTAATAAAATTATTTCAATACCTCAGGTTGTGTGGAGAAAGCTATCAAATGACGATCCTCGATCGAACAGTGGCGGTGTAAATCATAGAACGCCCAACAGACAAGACGATGAAATTGTATACGAAGATCTTTTATAGCAATAATATATCCATAATCCATCAATATCCACTGAAATTGATCTCAATCGAAGCGTTTTGTTGTGCGTCATTGCAAACAAACGCTTTGTTGCACGTCATACACCTCGGTTTTTACTCCATTGAAAACAAAAGTTATTTTAAAAGTCAGTTGAAAAGTCATTCTATAGGCCTGACGGACTTGATCCCAGGAATGATATCTTTTTGAAATAGCTGTAAAGGCTACTAGATCATTAAGAGTCCGAAAATTCAGAGCTTTTTGTACTAAGCAAACTAGCCTGTGATAGGTGTAAAAAATCGTGAAACTTAAGACTTCTTTAAATAAGCTTATTTGACCTCTCTCTATCTAACGCTTATCTACCCCTTTTCAACCTCTATAACCCGAAGTGTTATAGATCGGAAACTACAATTGACTTATGAAATAACTTTTTATACCCACAGAATCTCGTTCAGAAAAATATTCGTCAATCTCGTAATTTTATAGTACAACAATGCCACTCCAAGTGAAATTTCCACTGGTCAAATTTATGTACAATAGATGAATCATTTTAAAAAATGATGAAAATTTTAAAACGCAATAAATTATTTTCGAAGAATAGTGAAGGAAAAAATTTCTGGAGAAAGAAGAAAGTCAGATTGGTGTAATATATGATTTAATATAAATCTAGGTACTTACATGGTCAATAAGTACCTGTCTGTATTAGAAGATAAACTTTATATATTTCACCTCATCCATCCCCCTCTGCCCATTGGTCGGGTGTTAGGTAGTCTGCTATAGTTAGGTGTATGCCAGTTGGGTTGGTTGGCTGAAGCTGGAGGTAGTACTGCATTGTTCATTCCACCCCGGGGCAGCATCTGCATAGCTGGGGGTTGCGTTGCATGCTGATGATGCATCGATGGGAAAAGTTTGTGAGGGGGGAGAGGTGGTGGTCGTTGACCATACGTTTGCCCGGTTGATTGATGGTGGGGGTCCGACGGGGGCTGTGTTTGCATATGAGAGGGTGGGGGTAGAGTTTGCATGTGAGGTGGTGGGGGATGGGCTGGAATTTGGGAGGGTGGTGGTTGAGAGTGAATGTGAGTGGGCGGTGGGTGGTTGGGTAAAAGAGGTGGTTGACTTTGAATATTATGTGTGGGAGGAGGTTGTATGTGGGATGGTGGTGGTTGAGACTGTATATATGATGGTGGTGCCTGAAGTGGCGTGGGTTGGGTATGGCTTTGAAGCGACAGTGGAGGTCGATGTAGTGGTGGAGGTACACGAGCAAAGGTTTGTGGAAACCCGGAAGGATTCTGCACAAGATTAGGAGGCGGTAAAAGCGTTGCAGCGCTTGAGGAAGCAGGAATGGTAGAGTCTGTTGGAGGTGGGATACTAAATGGAATGGGACTGAAGGTACCGCCAAGGAATGCACCATGCGAAAGAACTGGATTGACATACGGCACTGTTGGTTGTACAAGTGGACTGGGGACTGGAGGAATATTACTTTGAGGCATACTCGATTGCAGAGAGTATGATGTTGTTTTAGAAAGGCTGTCAGATGTTATCACTGGACTTATGTTTTCCACGGCGCTTGTTAGAATCGTGTTTGAAGAAATTGCTTGGCTTGGATGAACCGAAACGGTTGTAAATGGAGGAGGTGGGGGAGCTGCGACAATTTTCGACCCTAAATTTAGGAAAGAACGAAACGTTGATTGAATACTGAATATTAACTATTCTGACCTATTAATGTAAACCCTTCACCTAAACTAAACACCAGAAGCCCGGTTGGCTGGAGTGCTACATGGAGATCTAAACATAAGTGATCTGGTCAAAAACTCAAACTCAGTGGTAGGAAAAGTATAGGAACATGATACAACCGGCCCTACTGCCCCTAGGAAAATATTTTCCAAGCCCGTTCAGCTTATTTAAACGGTGGCTAAGTTCAAAATAGAAAGCAAGTCTATCGTTTTATTCAAGAAGCAAACTAAATGTTTTTAACCTTAATACAAAGATATTGTTTACAACTACATATTCAGTGCATAATATTCAAGTTGACATTCATTCAAGAGAGATGTAAGCGTGTTATTTAAATTGGACTTATCCACCGTTCAAGCTAAACGACGGGCTTGATACAACCAGCACTTAGTCTCTACCCGATCTATTACCGATAAATAATTAATATTGATTTACAAAAACATGTGATACTGTAGCTACCTGATTTTGTAGACGAAGCAACCGATGTGGACTTCCCTTCCTTATCCTTATTCTCAAGTTTCTATCAATAGCATAAAAAACCAGTAAGAATAGTTTAACTTTACATTTAAACTTTGGTTTAGCCATCGAACAATGCATATGGGCCCCTGGGACCAGAATCTATTCTCGAATCAGATCGCGTAAAATGGTTGTTTTCGCGGAAAAACGAGTAAATTTCAAAGCAAACATTGTGTTGTGAGTTGTGGTCTTAAACAGGACGTCAAGAAATATAAATTTTTATTTGATTTCAACGCGGCAAGCCAAAATATTGAATCTTCTGAATATTTCCCGCCCGGATTTGCGTTTTAATGCTTTCGTATAATGAATATCAGTCAAAAAGAGATACGACGGTGTTCGACAATTCGACTGGCGATCATTGGTAATAAAAAATGCAGTACATATTTAAGAATTTCGATATTTTAGTTCGTCGTGTTGAAAACGAACGTAAAAAGTTGATATATCGGTATCCTACGCCAGGGTCGCCAGTGCCTTTATTTATTGAAAACCTTATTCTTGCTTTAAATTTTGATAAAAAGTATACGGGTATTCCCGCGTAAACAATTTTAAGCGATCCGATACGTCTAAGTGAAAATGTAAACAAAGGCTGTGATTGGCTGAAACAAAATTCCCTGGTGCCACGTGTTGGGTTGCATATAATCTAGCAGGAGATAGCATCACTTAAAACCGGGCTTACATAACGACCACCATTTACATCGAAATATTTCAGCACAGTTGTTCAATGAATGGATAATTTTGTTTTCCATTGAACTTATCAGCCAGGCAGTAAAGCTAAACGTCTTTCGAACAACTGGATACCGGATCCTCAGAAACACAATTTACTATCTCATATATACTTGAGATTATATTTAAAGGCATTTTGACAGGAGGAAAATATAACAACCTTTCTTTTAAATGGTGGACTGTTTGTGACAGATGGACTTGAATGACTTGAGTTGTTTGGACTTGGTTCAAGTTTTTCGCTGAGACTTTTCTTTGGTGGTTTTTCTTTCTTGGCTGCCCCATACAACTCCAGCATTTCGTTGCAAATTTCTGAATAAAAATACATGAAAAGTTTTACATTATGGAAAGCCCAATCACTTCTAAATTCTACACTGATCTTGGGTGAATAAATGCAGCCAACATAAAATTTGCAAAGTAAAATACCTTCAACAACAAGTTCCTGACATTCTTTGTTAAAACTATACCACCATGGTTTACTCGAAGGTGAATCAGTTGATGATTTCAAATCAAAATTGGCAAGCCTTCCAGCCAAGCTCAGATGTGCAATTGCTAAAACCTCAGGTCGCTTTCTCAAACTGAGACTGGTTGACAAGCTAAAATAAAGTGATGAATGTTACTAAACTGAAATACATTCAGAATTATTGTGTACCCTAAATGTATTTTTTACCTGTCATTTACAAATGTCCAAGCCATTTGAACTAATTTTTGAACTTTCCCTTTATCTCCTAAAAATGAAAATATTAATATTCAAAATCTGAGTTTTAAGAGCTGCTATGTTCCCAGTTACATAAAAAGCTATAAATCCCAACCTGATAACAATCTAACCTTAGACATAAAATTGAGATTGCACAAATATATTGTCATGGAAATTCCATACATGATTATTTTTTTATTTTCACATTGAAAGCCTATTTGAAAGTTCGATGTTCTGTTGCTAACATCTCCACACAGGTTGACAAAAGAGTTCAGAATACTAGCCTATCATTCTTTCCCAACTTAGAGGCATATTAAACTCTGTACTCAATATGAATTGCCTCCTAATACTTTTCTAACTAGATGATACCTTTTAACAATTTCCCAATTTTTAAAAGGATGCCATACGGGTGCTCAACTTGAAGATCAAACTTAATTGTCTGAAGTAAAACTCTTTCATATATCATGACTTCCTCCTAGAGATTGAAAACACAAAGAATGTAAATAGACATGTCGGAAGTATATTTATGAGCTGCATATGACAAACATTGTGCAGCATATTTGGAAAGTTCGATTTAAATGACACTTTACCCTAGGATTTTCCCCAAATAATCGAAAATGATGTTCAGTTAACATCTTCTTGGCAACGGTTATAATATCTCTACATTTCTTTGGTGTCTCTTCCACCTTCCCAGCAAGAAACAAGCAGGCACAAGCAGTTACCTATAAAAATGCAAAAGTTTTGTTTATATTATATGATACCAGAGTTTCTCCTTCACCATTCCCTTAGAAATCTTGCAGCATATCTCGCCCAACCCCAATTAAGTGTTTCAAAAAGCCAGTATCATAACCACATTCAAGACATCATGACAACTACATGGGGCAGTGCTTACCCATCTTGGAAAAGTATTAAATGACTGTTTCATGTAAAATCTGTGAAAGTAGATGACACCAGTTGCCATAGTATCATACCGCCTGGTTATTAGTTAAAGAAAAATCGTTGTTGAGGGAGAATATTTACTATAATGCTACATTTTATCTGCAAAGGGGTAACATCCGAAGGGTCATACCATATATCTCATGGGGAATGGGGGAACCACTCATATTGTCCTTGGACAGCTAAAAAGCTATGTTAGTACTAAGATCAGGCAAACTAAGCAATTTAAATGTTCTTTTATATGGGGTGGTGTCGTGGTGATCAGGGCTCATGCTTTGACTTGAAGCACATTGTATAAAAACGATATTTGTGATGAAATAAAATCCGACGAATTGTCTTCCCGAGCAATTCAGACAAAAGTGTATTTCTTATAGAACCGCTTGTTTGTTTTGGTATAGGCTAGTAAACTGCAAACATATTTGATCTCTATTGTCTCTTGATCAGTGACTTTTGAAGAGATTGTGAAGTGCCAATTGTCTCAATAACATATTTTAGGTCTATAAAGAAAAATCTACAACAGTAAAACACTTCAAAGGATACAATCCTAATTTGTTTCCCATGTCCATGATGAATCGGCATCCCTCCCGCCTGTATCGACATTCGGTCGGAAAATCAACGCCATTGGCACGGGATGGGGTGCGATTCAACAGCCTGTCTTTCGAGAAATACCATTTAACCATTGCTGCATTGATAATTTTCGCACAACGAGAGTTCAAAGTCGCAATTTAATTGAAGAATCGTGAAAATAATAGCGAAAATCTTCGCAAAAATATATCACCCGGCAGCCATGTTTGGTCACCAGGCCTTATTCAGTATTTCCGCGCGGAGCTGAACACAGATCAGTGAGCTGAACGGCCGTATTGAAACACGAGGTTGGAAATTAACCCTTTGCAGTTTGCATAATAAAATTGACCAACTTTTGATATAATTTAGGGACCAGTCATTATTAATGCCGGGTAGGGGGCCGGAGGAAATTTGGAGGGGCCGCCAAAAATTTTTGACCAGTGAAGGGGGTTTCCTCCAGCCCCCTACCCGGCATTAATAATGACTGGTCCCTTAGGCAACAAAAAGGAAATTTCCGAACAGTACATACTAAACTTGACTGCGAAATATTGTAAAGGCGAAGGTTTTTCAGGGGGCGCCATGAGGCATAGACGGGGCGCCGAAATTGCACAACATCGCCGAAAGGCGAAAGCACACAATGCCGCACACAAAAGCGTTAGACCGAATTGGAATTTTGTCGGGAAATACACTAGATAACGATTAATACACATCGTCAACAGAGAACGCGGAGAAGTTATATAACTTTGTCTTTGTACAAATGCATTGCTTTATTTTGAACATAGCCATTTTGCGATTGCATGTATAGAAATTCGGAATTTGCTTCTGAACATTAAAACGTAATTATCAATTTCCAATCCCAATCAGTTCTGCCACTGCTGAGCGCTCATTCTAAGCACTTTAGAGAGTGAAAACTCGAACTCGGTCAACTATGTTGCAAGGACGGTTGGAAGCTTTACTTTTGATGGCTTGTGAGTGCGGAATTTTAAAGTCTCTGGAGTCTGGACAGAGAGCGCATAATTGACGTCTTTGCAACTTGGAACTTTCAAAAGGACTTTTAAAGTAAATTAACATTTAACAGCCTTTCAAAATCCTTTATTCTTATTCGTAGAACAAGAAAACTCAAAACTATGCAAACATAATTTAATTAATAATAACTGTTTATGTGATTTATATTCAATTACTTTAGCCCTTTACTCATTAATGCATTTGCTTTATTTATCTAAATATTTCGTCAAATCGTCTCTTAAAACGCAAAACATTGCTTTCCGAGCACAATTGAAAATTTTCCGAGCGAATATGCCTATCGCGCAGTCATACGTCTATGATATAAAAATTACAAGGACGAAAGGGGGCGCCAAATTCCAGCTGGCCTCCCCTAGAGAACACGGGCCAGCACGCTACTGGTTCCGACCTTAGCAAAAAGAAGATGACAAAACTAATTGCCTTGACACTTCGCATGCCTATATTTTCTGTACTACAGATCGACATTTTGCAGCCAAACTTTTCAATTATATTATCTTCGGTATGCTTTTTTTAGTTGTGGTGAATGGTGATTTATTTCGTTCTTGTTACTTAGATCATGATTGGTGATTGTAACCATAAAGTGTTAGTTCTGTTTGTCACATAAGATAAATACACTTTAAATTAGTCATAACTTTAAATTAGTCATTCAACAATCTGATTTTAAAGTGATATTAACGTTCTAACGGATCCTAAGGCTCACATCAGTACGATAGCACACCAGCTCTTACACTATATTTTTGCCCGCTGCCGATCGGTAGGGATGGAGACGGTATCCGAGCGAAACGGTCGGGCTAGGGGTGAAACGGTGTTTCTTTTGAGTTTGCTGTTTTCGGCGCAGATAATAACTCAACGAACCATGCTATTTTAACGGTACCTCCTCCATCCCGTGATCAACTGTCACACGTGAGTCACTGAAGTGAAACCGTGGAATAAACGATACGAACATCAAAGTACACACACACACAAAACAAAACAAAAAAATACCTGTAAATGTGGCGATCATTAATGAATTTACCTTTACCCCAAAGAACTGTGCTTAATCCTGCAAAACAAACTAACAAAAAAAAAAACAAACCCCAGCGAGATTAATAAGACGCTTCTCCCGTAGAGTTCACAACATCGCGTGAAGTCGTTAGGGAAAGGGGCGGGATGGGTCACGCAAGCAACTAACAACTCGATCAGGCAAACTGGGCTCATATTTGTACTCACCGGAGGGGGCAAGTAGCCGACCGGACAAGCGTCCTAGGACCCGCGACACTACGATACGAAGACCCGTATAACATTAACTTCCTTTATTATTTAATAATAAATACATTTTTCTTTTCTCTATAAATTTAATTTTGACAACTAGAAAATGATTTAACCTACAGTATTGCAGAATATTGCCAGGGAGCAGCATGGCAGCGTCTTCAATTCTATACTATTCTCCTGACGAAGGTCCTCAGGTCGAAGCGTCGAGAAGTGTTTTGTCTATTTATTTTTAAGACAGTTGTTATACCACATTTGATGCTAAGTTGCAGAATATTGGTTTCATGATTGGATCCTCTCTTACTAATCCAATATCAGAATACGATATGAACAAATCAATATAAATTATATTAGCCAATTAGACCCTTATCTATTTTTAGGCAAAGCGATTTCCCTCTTAATTAAAAAGCTCCAAGAAGACCTCACCGAATTCAAAAGTACTGCCCTGCTGATAGCAGAACGTAGAAAAAATCACGAAAAAAACTTGAGTCGGGGCATCATGTCTATTCTCGCCAACACGTTATTCGCAAAAATAGGTTTTTGAACGCTTTTTTGTATGTCTGGTCGAGCCAGGCATAAATTATTGGATTGCAGAGACTGTTAAAATTTGGAAATACGAGAATCGTCATTCTAACTAAATGCCAACAAATCCACGATGTGTTCTCATTATCAACAAATTCTGGATAGTAAAAAAGCAACAAGAACCAGACATTGTAAGAACCCCAGCAAAATATGAACATTCCCAAGACAAGCAACAGCATTCTAACCACTTTAACATCTTGGCGAAGAGCAGTTCGTTGATTTTGAAAATTAGAGGCATGGCCCAAACCACCAGTTCGCAGCATTTTCTGTCGCTTATGAGCAACAGTGAAAATAAGGTAGTACATGACCAGCAAGATCACCATGGGAACGAAAAACGCGCCAACGGCAACAGCGATGGTAATTTGTTTTGAGTTGTTGAAGTCCCTGATGTCAATCAGGGTTCTTTGGGATGCCGACTGAGGAAAGATGACGAAAGTTGCAACAGCAATTCCGAACATGAAAATGGCGAAAATTATTTTCAATGATATCGAGGTTGTCATTCGTGATTTATACTGGAGAGGTCTGCTGATTTTAAAATATCTGTCGAAGCTGATGAATGTTAAAGTACTGATAGATATTGCATACGAAAAGAATTTGATCCATACTATAAAACGGTGGAGATGAATAGACAAATGTTGTCCCTTCCCTATTAAATCTGACTTGTGTATTTCTAACGGTATCACCAGAAGACCAATCGAGAGGTCTGCGGCAGCCAAACAAGCCACAAAATATTTATTCGGTTGATGAAGACTCTTGTCTCGCCATGTTGCAACCAAGACCAATGTATTTCCAAGAACTGTGACAATAGCAATGAATATGTATATGATTTTCTCGGATAATCTTAGGTGATCCAGGGATACAATATATTCAATCACACCACTTTGCATCCAAGGCATCTCAGATTGATTTGTTTGATTAAACAGGGCACCAGTGTTGTTCGACAGGATCATTGACATTGTTAACTGATGTTGTACATGATCCTATATGGTAACATAAAAATACTGCGGTGGTAAGACCTCTTAATTTTCGACTTCGTAAAAAGTAGAAAATCGTCTGTCAAAACTCCGCATGCATTCACTTCGCGGACGTAAGTTCAGTGGCGTCGCCAGCTTGATAAATGGGGGGGGACTTATTCATATATTCGTGTTTTACATTATTCATTTCTTTTCAAATTTATTGTTTTAACGGTCTTTGAACATGAATATATGAATATGTCCACCCCACTTATCGATGCTGGCGACGCCACTGCGTAAATTACACAAACGCAATGAGAAACAGCCTTCATCTGCCTTCATATTCATTTAAAATCAAAGGTGATGCCCGTCCGGCGAATCAATTCTGCTGATAATAGGGAGCGCATTTGATTTTATAAAAATTACCCAAATTTCGCCTCTTGTCTGAAAATCAAATTTTGCATCTTTTGTCCGAATTCTATTTCATATACCATTGAAAAGATTAGCCAATCAAAATATTGTTGAAATTAGGATGCAAAGTGTTGCCAAGGGCTACACGAATAATCTTTTAATTATAAATGTGGAGGAAATAATTAATTGCCTATGTATACTATATTATATAATAATTTGACGCACAGAGTATTGACAAAATTAGCTGCCATCTTTGTTAATTCCTCTTAGGGTCAGAGAATTTGCCCCCGCCAAGGTATACCGCGGTTAGGCTTTAGGAAGTAAGCGCATGCAGTTATAAAGTTTGCAACTTATAAATTAAGTAAGGTCTGCATGCTGAACTCATTCACAAGCTGGAAAACGTGTTTACTATTATACAAGTGCTCATATTATCAGCTCCTCAGAGACACCTTTTTATATCAGTATGTACCCTTATAGGTAAGAAAAGGGTATATTCTCAATCGAGACGATTTATATCCAACCATAGGCATAGTATATGTTAGAGAAAGACAGTTAAAAGAGCATGTCGGTTAAAAAAGTGTATGTTCTTCATATACCTTCAAACGATTTATTATATAGATCAGACGAATTAAATAGCCTTGTGGGAATAAATTTAGCATGCAATATTTGCTCAGCTAAAATATAGAGCTCATTCCAACCGTCCGGTACATATTTGCACATGCATAACATGTAATCTTCATGAGAACAGCAACGTTTTTCCGTTCTTCAACCTAATCTGCGAACGCGTATATTCTTAACGGTCGCCAAAAAATGTATCCGAAATAAAACCTACCTCTCTTTCGTAATGCTTTCACGTGAATTACCTTTGTTTTTTTTAGAGTTTGCTATAAGCTGTTATTATATCCTGTTCTTGTTTCCCTGACTCTGCTCAAATTATGTTCTTCTGCACTTTCGCGGCTTTCGAAATCGGTCGTGAGATGTCTGATAAAGCGCTGATCACAACTCCC